TTTCCATCCTGACTCCTGCTTCCAGGAGCAGCTTTGGTTGAATAAAGCGGTGATAAATATCCCTGTTGATCACTTGATTGATTACCTTACTCAAAGGTCACGCGGGTTCTGGTAATTTCCTTGCGCCCGAGGCTCCTTTTCGTCTGCGWCCAATGCACCCACTCTTCGTAAGGCTCACGTTATTTTTAACTCCTTCAGCGCTCAAAAGGCTACAGGAAAACACTTAAATTTGCTAAAACAATAACTAAATAAAACATGTTTTGTGACATGAACATTTTATTTATTTATTTATTTATTTATTTATTTATTTATTTATTTATTTATTTATTTATTTTGCTCGTTCCACAGAGAGAGTTTCGAACCCAATTAATTCCTAATGATGATCCAACCAGGGCTGCAGGGGTCTGCGCTCCGCTCCGCGCCGCGCCGCCAGCGACTTCAGGATCTCCTGATAAAATACGAAATGAGAGSGTGCTTTAGAGGAGACGCAGAAGGAGAAGATGTAGGGAAGAGCAGAGTGAGTTATTGCGGCGAATGAAAACTGTTTCCATTTAGGCTAATTGAGCGCTCTGCCTTGAAGCGCCCCCTTCTCTCCCCTCGGTCACAGCGTGCGTAAATTTGGAGTTGTGCGTTTCGCCCGGCGCGCCACCTTCTCTCTTCCAGGCTCGGCGCGCGACTTCTGGAGCAGCCCACTTAATGGCATCATTTATGCCATTACAGCTGAGGTCTGGTGAAGGGCACGGCCACAGCAGAGTATCACTTTCAAACTCCTCWAGACTTGTCGTCTAAAGTTAGCGAGTCGGAGACAACCCTCGCTCACTCCGAGTTTTGAGCGCCTGGATGTTCTGCCGTTGAAGGGATAAGTTTCTGAAACACTTGTGGAGTTTTGTTTGTTTAATTATTTAGGGAAATATATATTATTTATTGCTCAGGGGTGAAAATCAGGCACAAGTTTGCGCGTTCTGGAAACTTGATGATGCGGACAATCAGAGAAAACCTGAAAAGAAACCCGTCACGTGACTCGTCTTGTCATGTTACACAGTCTTTGATCTCATTTGCCTCTTTTCTTGATGCATGTTTTTTTCTCAATCATGATGTCGCCACGTAATCAATTTTCAGATCACTTTGGAATCGTTGCAGTTCGCACGAGTTCATCTGCGAGGTCAGCAAGATCTCCAGCTGATCTCACGACTGTCCAACCCCTTTAATGATCTGCTTCCGTACACCTTTATTACGCATTGTTTGAGCAGGGATCTGTCAAATGAAAAAATAAAGTCTGCTATGTATCTTTTTTCTGCGTGCGCCTTAGTRGAAGTTTATTTTTAAATGTAAAATCCGCGGTCTGGATAGCTTAATTAGGCCTACGTCAGAAAAGGCCTTAAAACCTTAAAAACCAAAAGGGAGAAAATWAATTTTTAGTTGCAGATCTGAACAAGTTCGTCCTCCCTTAATGAAACTGGTCTACCTCTGTAGGTTGAAGCAAGTGAAAACATTTATTCTGGGTAGAGTTTACGCACAGGATCGTCTCGAGCAGGCAATAATAGGCAGCACTTAACGTATTAATAATTGTCAGCACAAATGGGGAAGATTTTAGGGGGGAGGGGGTGAACAGTTTCATACTGAAGCTGTATAAGCCGGGTGCAGCAGAGGGGAAAAACAGGAGGGGGTGGGGGGCGTTTTCATTCATTCCCAGCGCTTCAATGGTCAGGATACAATTAAAATACATAAAACCTGCAATGGCTTGACTCAACATGGGTCAGTTTAAATGAGCGTTGATTAATGTCGCCTCATTTCAAGAAGGGGATGGGGTTGGGGGGGGTAACGATCTAGACCTGGTTGCGCTGCCAAAATAATCCGTTTTAGCAAAGCTTTTAATCTAAAAAAAGTATCAAGCTTGGTTCACAGGTCTCTTCTAACTGTGCCAAAAATCTGATTTATTTTTATTACCGAATCAAACGTGCATTTTGTGTTTTTAATTGAAAGTTTGCCTCTATTTTGAGCACTCAAAATTTAGACTACAGCTTTTTTTTTCCTCAGAGTGCCCCCCCTCCCTAACCTTAAACCCTTGCGCATTTTTGCCTCCCAGTTTAAGCAGCACGAGATGGGTCCACGATTCTCCCCCCCATCTTCATCACATCAACCTCATATCAAAGTGATAAATCCTCTCAAACTTTCCCCCTTTTTTTTTTCTTTCCTTCTCCTGGCACTTGCCGGCAAGATTTCGCTCCGCTGTGCGCATGTGCGAAGGTGTCCCAGACTGACAATGCTGGAGAGATAGCGCGTGTGGGATTGAGAAACCCAGAGAAAAAAGAGACAGAGAAAAAAATAATAATAAAAAGAGAAGGAAATAGGAAAAAGATTGACAACACAAACCCACGCCGAGAGACTGGCAGCATGAGGTCCAAAGGCAGGGCACGGAAACTGGCCACGAGTAGGTGCAACATCCATTTATTTATTTTTTTTTCCTTCTTCTTCCTTCTTTTCAAACAGCTTCTAACTTCATATATAAGCTGTCGCTGTTACAACAGCGTTACTAGTTACTGTGACGGGTTTGACTAAAGAAGCTGAAGCCAAACCTTTCTTTTCTTCTGTTAGAWTTGAGTAAACCGAGATGCTGCCGTGCGCGAAGGGGGGGGAAAGAATCCAGCGCGTCCGCGAGATGTGCGTAAAAGTTGAGGGAGCGCTGCAGGAACTTTGTGCCAGGCGGTCCGCTCGGTTTTTGCGGGGGCAGAAACGGCTTCGTTGCATGTAGTGGGCGCTGTGGTGTTGAGTGGCGTTGCAAGTTCAAATCCCACGTCCTGAATGTCGGCTGCTGCTCTCCATCTGCTGCTGCTGCTGTTTGGCTGCTTCTCGCCGCAGTTTCACCGAGGAAACKTTGGCTTGATGGAAAGAAAAGGGAAAAAAAACTGAACACGCACGGAGAGTGGTTCAGAGAAGCGGGGTTTTTTATTGGATTTATTTAAAACATATATGTGAGTTTATTTCGAGCTATGAAACTGCTTTATTCTTGCTGTTTTAATTTAAATCAATTTTAATATATGGTAAAAAAAATACTTCACATAGAAAAAAAACACGAGCTGTTTAATGAGTAATTAATAAAGTTGCACTTTTCTCATTGAAATCGATTCAATTACTTTAACAAAACCAGCTTTGTGAATGGGGTGATATGCACTGATTTGTCACAATAAATTATAAAGA